GCCCTCGGGTGAGGGTGCTTAATTGGGCAAAGGCCAATTACATCCACATTAGACAGGAACTGGGGAATGTGGATTGGGAGCAGTTATTTGAGGGCAAATCTACATCTGGCATGTGGGAGGCTTTTAAAGACCAGTTGATCAAAGTGCAGGACATGCACGTCCCTGCAAAACTGAAGGGTAGGAATGGCAGGATTCAGGAACCATGGATGACAAGGGAAATTATAAACTTAGTCATATGGTAAAAGGAAGTATACAATAGATCTAGGCAGCTACAAACTAACAAAGCCATTGAGGAAGATAGAGAAAGTAGGAAGGAACTCAAACATGGAATTAGGAAGGCTAAAAGGGGCCATGAAATATCTTTAGCAAACAGCGTTGAGAAGAATCCTAAGGTTTTTTATGCACATATTAGAAGAAAGGGGGTAGCAAGGGGAAGAATAGGACCCCTCAAGGACAAAGGTGGGAAGTTATGTGTGGAGCCACAGGAAGTGGGAGAGATCCTTAATGAGTACTTTGTATCAGTGTTCACCAAAGAGAAGGATATGACTGATGTTGAGGTCAGGGAGGAGTGTGTGAATACTCTACAGAATGTCAATATATTGAAGGAGGAAGTTTTGGGTATCGTAAATTGCATTAAGGTAAACAACTCCCCAGGACCAGATGGGATCTATCCCAGGTTACTGTGTGAGGCAAGGGAGGAAATAGCTGGGGCATTAGCAGATATCTTCACATCATTCTTGACCACAGGCGAGGTTCCAGAGGACTGGAAATTGGCCAATGTTGTTCCCTTGTTTAAGAAAGGAAGCAAGGATAATCCAAGAAAATATAGGCAGGTGAGCCTGACGTCTGTGATGGGGAAGCTCTTGGAGAAGATACTGAGGGACAGGTTATATGTACATTTGGAAGAAAATGGACTAGTTAGTGACAGGCAGCATGGTTTTGTATGGGGAAGGTCATGTCTCACTAACCTGATTGAATTTTTTGAAGAGGAGACAAAGATAATTGATGAGGGAAGTGCTGTGGATGTAGTTTATATGGACATTAGTAAGGCATTTGATAAAGTTCCACATGGCAGATAGGTACAAAAACTAAAATCACTAGTGGTGTTCCACAGGGATCAGTCTTAGGTACTCTGTTGTTTGTAATATATATAAATGAACTGGAATAAACTGTGGGTGGTCTGATTAGCAAGTTTGTACATGACATGAAGATTGGCAGAGTTGCTGATAGTGCCAACGAATTTGAAATTACAACAGGATATAGACAGATTGGCGACTTGGGCACAGAAATGGCAGATGGAGTTTAATCCAGACAAATGCGAGATAACACATTTTAAGAGGATCAAATTTAGATGTGAATTATACTGTAAATGGCAGAACCCTTGGGAACATTAACATACAGATGGATCTGGATTTGCAGGTCCACAGTTTCCTAAAAGTAGCAACACAGGTGGCCAAAGTAATTAAGAAGGCATATGGCATGTTTGCCTTCATCAGCCACAGCACAGAGTACAAGAGTTGGCAAATCATGTTGCAGCTACATAAAACCCTTGTTAGGCCGCATTTGGAGTATTGTGTACAGTTTTGGTCACCACATTACCAGAAGAATGTGGAAGCTTTAGAGAGAGTGCATATAAGGTTCACCAGGATGTTGCACGGTCTAGAAGGCTTTGGCTATGAAGAAAGGTTAAAAAGACTAGGATTGTTTTCACTGGAAAGATGGTAGCTGAGAGGAGACCTGATAGAGGTATTCAAAATTATAACAGGCATAGATAGGGTGGATAGTCAGAGGTTTTTCCCCAGGGTTGAAGTTTCAATTTCAAGAGGGCGCAGGTTCATGGTGTGAGGGAGCAAGTTTAAGGGAAATGTGCGAAGGAAGTTTTTCACACAGAGAGTGATAGGAGCCTGGAACACACTGCCAGCAGAGGTGGTGGGAGCAGGCACATTGGTGGCATTTAAGAGGCATCTGGATGGTTACATGAATAGGGAGGGAAGAGAGGAATATGGACCGAATAAGGGCAGAAGGTTTGCTTTTGTTTTGTTTAGTCAGGGCATGATGATTGGCCCAGGCTTGGAGGGCTGAAGGGCCTGTTTCTGTGCCATACTTCTCTTTTGTTCTTTTGAATATGCAAAGAAAAAAAAAGTGATTTGGAATGGTGTCAATACCCCACAACACATTTCTACACTTAACTGGGTGCCATAATTATAATTACCACAATTCTGTACCAAAAATTCCAAAGGCAGTGAAGATATTGACCATGTTTTAGGAATAATAAATCCCTTGCTACAATTCATCTCTCATTTCTATTTTTATTAAGTGAGAATAAAAGTAATGTTGTTATATATAAACAAGTTACAAATACTGAAGCCTGTTACTTACTGTCAGCTTCACCACAGATTATCACATAGCAACAGGATATTGAAAAGCTAACAGAAGACTTGAGTGGTGCATGTCTGAAATTTTAATCAATTCTCACACACTTTCAAAGTCTGGTCTTTCAAAGGCAGTAGCACAAAACATAGTAACCCCTTGCTGTCCTATTCACTCACCAACATTCTCGGCTCAAACAATATTCAGTTTGGCAATAGTTTGAATAGGTGATCATGACAGACTCACACCAAATATTGGGTAGAACTGCTGGAGCTTGTTTAAAAAGTAGATATTGTTTTGAACTGTGCCCAAGCTGCACTAAGTAACCAACAGATTCAGTTGAGGTAGTTTACCTGATTGGATACAGGATCATGCTCATTTTCCAGTACGTTAGAGAAGGATTTTGTTTATGGTTTTAAACATCAGACTGTGATTGTTCAAAAGGCAGGGTCATAGAATCATAGAAGTAGTTTCTCTCTCTATCCACTCAGAATCATAGAATTCCTACAATGTTGGAAGAGGCCATTTGGCTCATCAGGTCTGTAGCAACTCTTCAAAGAGCATCCCACCTAGACCTAGGCCACCTTTGGACGATGGAAGGAAACCAGAGCACCCGGAGGAAACCCACGCTGATATAGGGAGAACATGCAAACTCCACACTAATCGTCACCTGAGGTATTTTTTTTTAGCTGAATAAATAGCTATGTACCATCCCAGCAATCGTGTCCCTCTACACTAAGCTGAAGATCATAAGACGACATAAACAGATAATCACTTGATGAAGGGGAACTGGAAAAATATGGCACCATGAGGACTTGCATATTTTAAATTCCATATTTTTACAGTTCTCCTTCATCAAATAATTATCTGTTTACAACACTGGCATCGACCCAATAATGTGGAAAATTGCCCAAATATGTCCTGTACATAAAAAGCAGGACAAATCCAACCCGGCCAATTACCACCCCAACAGTCTGCTCTCGATCATCAGTTAAAGTGATGGAAGGTGTCATTAACAGTGCTATTAAGCAGCACCTGTTCAGCAATAATCTGCTCAGAGACGCCCAGTTTGGGTTCCGCCAGGGCCATTCAGCTCCTGATCTCATTACAGCCTTGGTTCAAACATGGACATAAGAGCTGAATTCCAGAGGTGAGGTGGGAGTGACCTTAAGGCTGCATTTGACTGAGTATGGCTTCAAGGACCCCGAGCAAAACTGGAATTAATGGGTATCAGCGGGCAAACTCTCCACTGGTTGGAGTCATACCTGGCATATTGGAATATGGTTGAGGTTGTTGGAGGTCAGTCTTCTCAGCTCCAGGACATCTCTGCATGAGTTCCTCAGGGTAGTGTCATAGCTCCAACCATTTTCAGCCACCTCATCAATGAATTTCCTTCCATCATAAAGTCTGAGGTGGGGATGTTCGCCGATGATTGCACAATGTTCAGCACCATTTGTGACTCCTCAGATGCTGAAGAAGTCTATGTTCAAATCAACAAGACCTGGACAATATCCAGGCTTGGGCTGACAAGTGGAAAGTAAAACACAAAAGAACTGTGGATGATGTAAATCAGAAACAAAAAACAGAATTTGTTGGAAAAGCTCAGCAGGTTTGGCAGCATCTGTGAAGAAAAATCAAAGTTAATGTTTCAGGTCTGGTGACCCTTCTTAAGAAGTGCAAAGTAACATTTGCCTGGCATTTGTACTATGCAATGACCATCTCCAATAAGAGACAATCTAACCGCTACCTCATGCAGCGAGGGACAAGCAACATTGGAGGAATCAAAGGAGATGGGCACAGGGACAAGTCATCAGCACAAAATGGGAGCTGACTCTGTCCATGTGGAAATGTTACCAAGTGCCAGTGGGAAGGAGGCTGTCTTTGCCCATTCCTGAACAATCATATGGGAATAGGAGTAAGATTCACTGGGAAGAGGTCCTACTACAATGAAAACATAAGAAATAGGAACAGGAATAGGCCATTCAGCCCTTCAAAAGCCTGCCCTGTTATTCAACAGGATCATTCAGCCCTAGACCTCAATTCATCTTTCATGTCAACTTCTCATAGCCGTCAACTCCTTATTTCAAATATCCACCTACCTCTTCAGTGATCTAGCCTCCACAACTCTCTCGGGTAGAAAATTCCTGACATTCACCACCCTTACTTCATATATCAGTTTTAAGGAACACACTTTCAGAATCAAGTCTCCTAGTTTGAGGTTTCCACATTGTGGATAAGTATTCAGAGGGTCAGACAAACATTCTGTTGAGCAATAAGTAGGAGAGTTATTTTCTAGAAAGCCACAGAATCATTTCAATCCCTCTAACAGAGAAGAACTGAGTGCTGGTTTTAGCTGAGGGACCAATCCTGTAACTACAATGGTTTCCCTGAACCTTAAAAGTCTGTAGAAATACACAGGCTGTTATGGTCAATCAAATAAAAGAAGGCTTAATTACAACTATGAGACAGCAAGAACTGCAGATGCTGGAGTCAGAGTCAACGTAGTGTGGAGCTGGAGGAACACAGCAGGTCAGGCAGCATCAGAGGAGCAGGAGAGTGAAGGGTCCCGACCCGAAATGTCGACTTTCCTGCTCCTCTGATGCTGCCTGACCTGCTGTGTTCCTCCCGCTCCACACTGTGTTGATCTTAATTGCAACTATGATCAAAAACAGGGACATTAACTTCCTGTCAGCCAAGAATATTTTCAATTGTCCGCAATCAAGGGGGTTTCTTGGAAATGGCTACCTGAAGAATATATTTTAAGAAGTACAATACATTTCTAATTTACAAAAGTCTTTATTTCTTTCATTCCTCTGGGGTGCTGAGTTCCTGAAAGTTTTGTTCCTCAGTGGCATACTCACGCTCAATCTGTTCGAGTAATCTGTCCACACAGTCTTCTCTGTTTTCCAGTCTCAGATACTTTTTAATGTAACTGCATTCCAAACGTGGCCAGCTCCTGTGTTTTTGCTCGACCTGGTGTTTACTGAGCTGACTCGTATCCTTCCCAAGGTCAAATGATTTGGAGTAAGCACACGTCCTGTGCAGTTGCATGTCTGAACCATACACTTTCCTGGTGATGCCTGGAGATAACAACTTTCCAATGAACCTGGTGGAGAATGATTTACTGGGCAAGGAATAGTCCATGTCCACAAGCTGAGAAGCATCATCGGCACTGCGGATACTGCTGGACCGAATGTAACCATAGTTCTGCAGGTGGCTTACATCTTCAGTGGAAACCATGACGATTTTCTGGTCTAGTTCAACATCCTCCATCACCGCAGTAATATCAGGAGTATCTATGATGCAATTGTTAAGTTTAATAACCGGTAATACTACAGATGCAGAAGCCAAGGCATCAATACTGCAGTTCAAGGGGACATTGAGATTTCTTTCACTGGAGTTGCAAGAGTCTGACTGGACACTGTGAAGAGAGATGGAAGGAGAAGGTCTTTTGTGATGCAGCAGCTGGGCAGTAATCTTCTGTTTAACAGACATGTGACAATCGGCCCATATCTCTGCTTGACCTTGTTTTGCCCTGCAGGCCTTTTCAGTAGCACAGTACTGCTCCAAATATTGAAAGTTGGCGTCTATGGAGGTTGGAGTGGGACTGTGTTGAATCTGTTTTGGTTCTTTATTCTCTCCATTGCAGGCTTGGCCAGCCAGAGAATAAATATTTCTTTGTGCTAAAAGTTTGGTTTCTCTATCTCGGTTTTCGTGCAGCACTGTGTTTGCACAAATGAAAATGAACAACCCAAATCCCATAATCAATGGGCCAATCAACTTCAGCTTCTCATGCTTGAGCCCAGGTTGAGACTGAAGCTTTAGTCTCGCATGTTGGGTCTCAACACTCAATTCACTAGTGTTCGTACCTTCACGATTTGCTGACATTTGAGAATTGTGCTTATGTGGCCAGTAGCCGACAACTGCAATAGCAATCCCCACCATGACAATAAACAGCCCTAATATAATGAAAAACCCAGAAGGAGAACGCATGTTGACTTTTGCTTTGGGTCCTTTATTGTCTCTGGGTCTATATCTTGGCCGTGGTGCTTTAGGAGGCAAAGGAACATCTGGTTCACAATGAAACCTTTCCTGGCTCTTCGTAGCTGGATCTTCTACTGTGATTGTCATGTCGACGGTTTTAATTCCACTTAAAATAAAAAGACGAAAACTTACATTAAAACAGAAAAAAAACTTTCCTTTTCAGAAAGACAAGCATGCTCATTTACAAGTATGCATTACCTTCTCATGCAAAACTTTCACTTTTTAAGGTGGAAGCTGAATCCTTCTTCCTCAAATGTGATATTGTTTATGTTTAACTCTGATTTCTCTCCACAGATGCCGCCAGTCCTGCTGAGCCTTTGCAACAATCTCTGTTTCTGTTTCTGATTTCCAGCATCTGCAGGTCTTTCAGTTTTTAATCAACCAATTAATCTGTTCTGGTTGAGATATTAGGTTACCTAATGTCACAGGAGTAGAGAAAGGGCATGCAAGCATGTGGTGAAAGGTGGTTTCTCTTGGCAGAGGTTTCGAGAAGACAAGAGCACGGTCTCAGGACAAGGCGTCGATAATTTATTACAGAATCATAGAGATGTACAGCACAGAAACAGCCCTTCACTCCAACTTGTCCATGCTGACCAGATATCCTGAGTAAATCTAGTCCAATTTACCAGCATTTGGCCCATATCCCTCTAAACCCTTCCTATTTATGTACCCAGCCAGATGCCTTTTAAATGTTGTAATTGTACCAGCCTCCACCAATTCCTCTGGCAGCTCATTCCATATACACACCTTTACATGAAAAAGTCGCTCCTTAGGTCACTTTTAAATCTTTCCACTCTCACTTTAAACCTATGCCCTCTAGGTTTTGACTCTCCGACCCCAGTGAAAAACGTTATCTATTTACCCTATCCATGCCCCTCATGATTTTACACACCCCCATAAGGTCACCCCTCAACCTTCGACACTCCAGGGCAAGTTTGCTGAGATGAGAAACTTCTTCACTCAGAAGGTTTGAATCTGTGGAATTCTTGACCACAGAGAGAGGAGGATGGAAGGGAAAAAATCTGTTCAATCAATATAGGGAGCATGCTGGAAAATAGTTACATTTCTATGGTTTGGATGGCACACTGGCTCAGCGGTTAACACTGCTATCTCACAGCACCAGGGACCCAGGTTCGATTCCACCCTCAGGTGACTGTTTGTGTGGAGTTTGCACATTCTCCCCATGTCTGTGTGGGTTTCCTCCGGGTGCTCCAGTTTCCTCCCACATTCCAAAGTTGTGTAGGTTAGGTGAATTGGCCATGCTAAATTGTCCAGGGTTGTGCTGGCTAGGTGGGTTAGCCATGGGAAATGCGGGGTTACAGGGATCGGGGATGGGGGGTGGTGACGCTCTTCAGAGGTGCAGTGTGGACTCAATGGGCCAAAATGGCTTGCTTCCACACTGTAGAGACCCTATGAGATAGAAGGGTGTGAAGCTATACAGGAATTTTTTTGATGATAAAAAATAAAAGAGATTGCTGGACTAGGAGTCAATGCAGTTCGACAAAGGCAAGGGGTGATGGGTGAACAGGACTTGGTCTGTGTTCATTTACCAGAGTTTTAGATCAGTTTAAATTTTTAAAGGGTGCAAAGTGGGAGATCAGCAAAGAGAACAACTCCAGTGACTGATAGTAATTAGTAACTGGCCTTGAGTTGATGTCTTTCAGATGTAACAAAATATAAAACATTTTTTTTCATTTCATGTGTACAAATAATAAAAACTATTGGTCCTTTTCAGGAAGCTATGCATTTAAAAACAAATGAGCTGACCAATAAGGTTTTCTTGCTTAACAATTGTAAAATGCACCAGCAGCTTTGGGTATGATTCTCAAGAGGTGTACTGGAAATGGTTGCTAATGGCTACCCTTCAGCCATTATTTCACAAAGAATTCGCAATGTATTAGAAAATTAAATTCCCAATATGTTCAACAGTTGCGCTATTAAACTTGATCATTCATTTGACCTCTCTGGCTGCAAGGCAGAAGAAAAAATAAATATATAATGATCAAAAAGTTAGAAGAACAGTCTCATAACAATAGTGCAGCCAAAATAACCATTAATAATGACTGCAATTAGTTTCTCTGTGGGGGGAAAAATGATTGCAGATGTGTTTAGGAATCCAATGCAGAATTTTGTGTCCTAAAAAAAAAGTCCTTGCAATAAAATGTCACTATTTTTCCTAACTTTGAAGAAACTGTTTTAGAAATTACTGGATAAATGTTCTATTTGTGCCGTGCAAATACAGTGGGGAGCACAATGGGTGAAAAAGGTTGGGGATGGGGTACGTAATTGGCTGTGGTACATAATTGGCTGTGATGTCCTCCACAGAAGAAGAATTTCTACATCCACAGCATCTTCCCCAGGGAAAGAAAGATATGGGATTCATGCATTACATCTTATTGTGTTACCCTCAAAATGCTCTACCTGCAGTTAATTGTTTTGAAGTGTGGCTACTGTTGTAGGTGAACATTGCAGTCATGCTGAGCAAAGCAATGTCCTGCAAATAGCAATGAGCTGAATGTCTTCTTAATCTTGGTCAAACTCATTGACACAAAAATAGACCCTTTCAAAGCTGCTTCTTTGTTAACTAATTTTAAACACACAATTAAACACCTCCATATCAGAGATGGACAGAATCCATGTAACTGCACCCCAGCAGAAGAGGGAAGTGACTATGTAGAAGTAGGGATAGGAAATTTTAAATTCACAGCAGCTAAAAGAGTGCATGATAAAAAAAAAGCAAAAATGAACAATGGAGCACAACGTTTGTACTAAAAGGACATACCTAAACCTCAACATATTTTGATGATGACATGTACCTCGCATATACAAGGCAAAGTAATGCAGCCAGGTCAGCAATTCCTGCACAGCAATGAGAAAAAAAAATCACTAGTATTTTTAAAAGGGAAACTTAGTTGAGCTTGAGATTTTTTTTTAATTCTTAGAAAGATGTATCCAGAATGTGATTTTAATATGAATCAAGTTAAATAAAAGATCATAAGCACAAATTACAAAATGCATTTAGAAGTGAGTTCAAAGTTGTTATTTTTATTAGGAATGGAAGTACCAGCTTCCAGCATTGAAGGACCAATTAATCAGTTTTGGTTGAGGTATTTGGTTACATAAAAAGCTGACAGGAAACCCCAGAAAATCCCAAACCTTTTTAAAGAATACAGGTATAAAGACAGTAGCAATGACCCCACCCAAGTGGGGAATAGGGTCTTATTAAGACCAAAATTACACATGGACATTTCACCCTGACTTGCTTTGCAGTATAGGGAGCGGAGAGTATTTATACTCTACACTTTACATGGTATTCAAGTTAATTACAGAGGATAGCCAAGGTGCAAGTTCACAGTTTCAGCTGTGGCTTAGTTGGTATCAGTCTCGGCTTCCAAGTTCCAGTCTCATTCCAGGTGGAACACAAAAATCAGAACTGACTCTTCAGTGCAATACAGCCAATCATTCAGCATTCTCTTCTTGTCCAGTATAAATGTTGTTTTGCCTTTTGCACTGGGTTTTGGGGGCGGGGAGGGGGAAGGGAAGGGATGATGTTTTTGACTAGGGAAGATATTTCTGAAAAATCGTCCAGTGAAAATATATGGGTAGAAATTACAAATAAGAAAGGAAAGATCACTTTGATGGGATTGTACTATAGGCCTAATAGTAAGAGGGAGATTGAGAAACAAATATGTAGGGAGACCTCAGATACATGTAAACACAATAAGGTTGCAATAATGGGGGATTTTAATTTTCCAAACATTGACTGAGACTACCATAATGTTCAAGGTTTGGATGGTGAAGAATTTGTCAAATGTGCTCAAGAAAATTTTCTTTAACAATATGTCGATGCTCCTACTAGGAAAGGAACAAAACTAGACCTTCTTCTGGCAATAAGGTGGGGCAGGTGACTGAAGTAAAAGTGCAGGCACACTTTGGGTCTAGCGAACAGAATTCTATTAATTTCAAAATGGTTATGGAAAAGGATAAGCCTTCCATAAATGTTAAAGCTTTTAATTGGAGTAAGGTAAATTTTAATGGTATGAGAGAAGAACTTTCAAGAGTTGATTGGAGTAGACTGTTCATAGGTAAAAGGATGTCTGACAAGTGGGATGCGTTCAAGAGTGTGATGACAAGGGTTCAGAGGCATTTTGTTCCTGTTAGAGTGAATGACATGGCTGGTAAGATTAAGGAACTATGGATGAATAAAGATATTGAAGCTCTAATCAAGAATAAAAGAGAATCTTATTTTAGATACAGATAACTTGGTTCAATTGAATCTCTTAATCAATGTAAAGAGTCTAGAGGCATTCTTGAGAGAGAAATCAGGAAGGCAAAGAGGGAGTATAAGATAGCATTGGCAGATAAGGTTACAGATAGTCCAAAGAGATTCTACAAATACATTAAGAGCAAGAGGGGAGCTAGAGAGAGAGTTGGGCCTCTTAAAGATCAAGGAGGTTATCTTTGTGTTGAACTCCAGGAGATACGAGAGATACTAAATGAATACTTCATGTCAGGTTTTACTGTGGAGAAAGAAATGGAGTCTAGAGAATGCAGAGAAATAAACTTTGATGTTTTAAAAACAGTTCACATTACAGAAGAGGAGGTTCGGGAGGTCTTAGAGAATATAAAGGTGGATAAATCTCCAGTACCCGATATAATGTATCCCAGAACATTGTGGGAAGTAATGGAGGAAATCACAAGACCCCTTGAAGAAATATTTGCATCATCTGTAACAATGTGAGGTGCCGTGGGGGTTAATGTTGTACCTTTAAGAAATGTTGTTAGGAGAAGCCAGGGAACTATAGACCTGTGATTCCATAAGACCATAAGACATAGGAGCAGAAATTAGGCCATTCGGCCCATCAAATCTGCTCCACCATTCAATCATGGCTGATAAGTTCCTCAACCCCATTCTCCCGCTTTCTCCCCGTAACCCTTGATCCCTTTGATAATCAAGAACCTATCTATCTCAGTCTTAAATGTACTCAATGACCTGGCCTCTACAGCCTTCTGTGACAGTGAATTCCATAGATTCACCACTCTCTGGCTGAAGAAGTTTCTCCTTATCTCCGATCTAAAAGGTCTTCCCTTTACTCTAAGGCTGTG